CCCCCCCCGCAGCCTGTCTGCTGCAGCGCCCCCTGGTGGATTACGCCCGGGTGCGAGAGTACAGCCTGCGGGTGCTGCGCTGGCGAGAGGGGGACGTCAAGGCGCTGTACCGGGCGGGCGTGGCCACGCTGCAGCTGGGCGACCCGCGCACCGCCAGGCAGTACCTGCTGCAGGCCAGCAGGGGGCAGCCTCACGGTATTCCCGCCCGGGGTCTGGGCTGCACCGGGGGGGTTCACGAGCGAGCAGCAACCCTCACATTCCTGCACTCGCCACTCAAACCGCGCCGTAGAGAAGGGGTACAGTGGGGGTACGCCAATCCGGTCCCCACACCCCAGGAGAGCAGAGTGATGATGGGGTTTGGCCAGGACACTGGGGTAACACGCCTACTCCTTTCGAGAAACACCCTGGGCGCTTTGGGAAAATGACACGCAGTTTTAGATGAAGTATTGAAATCTTACTGTCAATAAAATGCCGACTAAATGAAGTTCACAACACGCAAATACACTGGTGTAAAATAAGATCAGATAGTGTGTTGAAGACTCAGATTAGTCCAATAACGTCCATAACAATACTACCAAACGAGTAAAAATGTCATCATTGGCCACATGATTTTGTCCAATAGAAATCTCCCTTTGTGTCAATATCTGGGAACATGTATCTACCCATACCTGGGAAACAGGAGTGAACTGGAAAAACTGGTAAAAGACAAAAATGAGTCAAATGCAGCCGAGCTATAGGTATTGTACCTGTAGTCTTCAGTTACATATCGGATCGTGAATCAGAGTGGATCCTGTTTACAGAAACGGTCCGTGATGCCAAGTCGGACTCCAATGCTGGAAATTCTGCTCTCTGAGTCATTAACCTGTTCGGATTGATCCGTTTAATATTCCGCACAACTCCTGATCCAAAAGGGGTTTGTTTATCCCGCGGCAAAGCAGCACAAAAAGCCGGAAAATGATGGGTTAATTGAGATCGGGATGTTTATTCCGTCCTCATTCCTTGTTTGAGGTCGTAGTGGTCAGAGAGGGTGAGGAGGTGGGTGCGCCGCTGTCCGCCGGCCGGCGTGGACGGGTCAGCACTGACCGGGCTCCTCTCTCCCCCCAGACGCCAACGTCAGGAAGTACCTCCGGCTCACGGAGGAGAGGCTGAGCAGCGACCACGAGC